ACCACATTTTATATGGCACCATTGTAAGCAGTTGTCACATTCAATGGCACGGTGGTTCGAAGCGACAGTTCTCGAGCAAATCGAGCATTTGTCCTTAGTCGTATTAGATGCTGCTGTTTGAGGGCCAGGATTAATGGCTACATCACCACTTATACTTATCCTATTGATCTGGAAACGAGAAGTAGCGTTCGGATAATAACTGATCGACGAGAAGAGAAATTTCTTCTTTCGCACGTGTTGTTTTACTATCGGTACTTGAGCTTGTACAGGAATAGAAACCTGAAATTTTGATCTTTCAGGTCGAAATAAATAGGTAGAATCTCTCCTGACGTCTTGAGGAGTATTTATCTTGAAATTAAGAACGAGGTAAACAAAAATTGTGGCTATTAAGTGTCTTAAACTGGGCGAAGAAGGCGGCGCTAAAAATATAGCCGCCATCTTGAGCCACGTCACGGATTGTTATCTATATAAGGTCTGGTCAAGGTCTCGGCGAGGCTATCAATATATGCATTTAAGACTTGAATTGGATCTATGCTAAAGTTCTGAATAGAACTGTCTTAAAGACTGGTGTGCAGACAAACTTTCTCTTATTCCTGCCGACTAGAATTCTGATCCAAAAAATTATGTTATTGCTGCTTTATTTAGAAAGGAGAAGCAATTCAGGATAATTACACAATTGAATTACGTGACAGAGTCACTGGTCAAGGTGTATTTCAGTGTGTGCTGTTATCGCCGGTTACACTAAATAGAATCCTGTAGTTTGGTTCTGAAATGTTCATACAGATTTGAATAGCGTAAGCTTTCAGAACTCAAATAAGCATGAAATAGCAAAAGCCATTACAGAATCGCGCCCATTGAAAAACGTCGCACGGGAAAATGCAAATAAGCTAGAAAAAAGAAAGAGAGCATGCGTAACTTCACGCAGGTCTGTCAATCCGACTGTCAATCATGTAATCCCCTGTGTACGCAGTGTTCGAAAGTATTGTTTCTTGTGCAGACAACCGAAACGTAGCGCTTTTCATCGAAGAAGAATAGACGTAATTAGTGGCGTTATCTTGATTAGGTTATATTGTTTAAAAATCGGTCAGATGTAAAATTAAATTACCTTTCAAATGCCGGGTTTTCAATTTGTGTTAAGACTCAAATGCGGCAGATTTACGCGGTTCGACCATCAATTTCGCCAAGAAAGCAAAACATTACAGAAATATTCCTTTTAAGTAAAATTTCCGTACTGCCCCATACTATCGTAAAACAAATCTGTTTTCCCAATGGTAATGTATTGTTTTTGTCACTCTATCCAAGAACTGAACGTATAATGTAGTGTGGGGCTGTGCGGAATTTTACCTTCCTTTTTGGCCCGTTAAATTTTTAAGAAAGAGTTTGCTATTAAAATGTCAGGCGAGCGCTAATCAAATTATGATATTCGATACATTGTTGTTGACGTCTTTCAGTGTGTTAGCAGCCATAATGCGAGGGAATTTCGACAAACGTTTGTGGATTGAGATTGGTGAGGGGTTTGCCATAGATTCATTAACCTGACTGACTGGCGCGAAAGGCGAGTGACGTGTCAGCAGCTGTTGGTGATATCAGACACAAGTGAAAAGGTTTTATTTTTTCACGTGCGTTGTTCAGGACTGGAAATTCTTGTAAAACACCACAGTTTCGTGTCAGTTATCGTGCTCAAGACGATAACTCGCTATTTCAAAGCACTCACAAGTGAGCTATCGATTTGAACACACGTAAGGAAATTCCATCTGTACAAGCGCTTATGTATTTTCTTTCTTCATCACACGACATGTGCCTACTGCTCTTTTTTCTAAACATCCGGGAGGAAAATTATTCGAAAAATTTTGAAAAAATAGTAAAGGTTAATGCAAAATCATAAAATGTCTTGAATAATACAGAGGGATGACCCATATTTAAAAGAAAAAAGCTAAATATTAATTAATCAGTTCTTTTCATACGGTAAGTATTTTTTGCACAAAAATTGATCTACATTTCAATTGAAATAAAGTTTTATTTTAAAGGTTCGTTAGAGATAAGAACTATGCTTTGTGAAATAGGACAATTTTCACGTTTTTTCGTCGGTTATTAATTTTTTGGTTTTTGAAAAGACCTCTTGGTTACTTGGGTTGGTATTACCTTGACTTTTCAACGTCGAACTTTCTGCAAATAAAACGAAATAAAACTATTTAACGGGAGAAATAGAAAAACAAGAACAGTGATTAAAAACGAAGAGACGCAAATTACGAGAATAATGATATTAACATTTTTTTTTCATTTTGATCACCTGTTTTGGACGTTGCGTTGCAGCTATGATTGGATTAAAAGGCACTTACCTATTCATGAGGCTTTGTTTGAATAGTTGAAATAAATGTTAGGCTGTTCTACTTAAAGGCTGTTTAATCTACACACTAGGTACACGACGTTCTACTTTTCAGAGCGAAAGCACTACTGAAAAAGATTAGGTCAGCTATCTGAGAGGGAAAGGTGAGTTTCACAGTAACTTTCGCCTTTTAACATGCACCCTTACGACTTTCACCTTATCCAGGTTCATTACATTTAAAAAGATAAAGGACACAAATTTTTTAAACCATTCTTGTGAAATGGGAAACTACCCCTAAATAAGAAATCTTTTGAACAGCCCTTTTCATGGGGGGAAAGGAAAAGGGTTGTATTGAACTTATTATCCCATCAGCGAAGGGAACAGAGCTAACGTAGAGTTTTTCATTCATTTCATTCCATTTAGGACAGGATAATCCTATTATTTATACGAAAAGACTGATAATCGTAAATGTTATTAATGTAGAAAATAAGATTCAGTTAAAATTCTTGAAACCAAAAGTTCACTAACATTTTTTATTAGCCTAGAATGGAGTCAGATATTACGACTCTCGGAAGTTTCATGCCAGAGGATAATTTTAATTTGAAAATCTAAGCCATAATGTCGCTGATATTTTTACTTGAATCCTTCAAACTAGCATTTTCTGGGATGAACAGGTTACACAGTGGGTATCAGACATTGACCATTTTCTAAGAGGAGTATTATTTTGAGTGCAAATTCTTTTGAAGAAGATAAACAAAATTGCCGACCTGGGCAGCATAACCTGAAAAATCGAAAAGAGAGAACCAATTTTATCGTCTTAAAGTGCGTAACAGTTTTTAACCTTTCAGCTCTCGAATTTTGAAAGGTAGTGTGTGAGAAGTTCCATTTAATTTGATAACAACAAAATTCTTGTCAACGTCCAAACGTGTACCTTTTTTTTAATGTACCAGACACAATTTGAATGTTCCCTCAGTGAACTGGGTTTTAAAAAGCAATGATTATAGTGAAGTGAAAGATTCTCTCTCATGTTATTACGGCCAAACGTTTGATTCCGATGTGCCCACGAGCTTCAGCCAGTTGAGGATGCCATGTTAGAGTGTCTTTTTCCTTGCTAATCACAAAAAAGAAAATTTTTCTAACTAAACTTGATGTTCTTAGAGTGAAAAAATAAAGCACAAACACTGTGAAACACTGTGTAGACAATGTGTTCACAGTTAAACTCTTTCAGGCTTGATTTTTCCTTGTTCATACAAACGAGAGGAAAATAATACTTAAATACCTTGAACTACTTATTTCCTAAGCTATTCAAAATCAGACGTCTTTGCCCGATAGAATCAGTTCCTAGTTGGTTTTCTGAATAATTAAACAGAGCAAAATTACTTGCAAAAAAAAAGAGAGCTACACACAGTTGTTATTCATAGAATTGATAAAAAATGTTTTGAAAGGTATTTTTTACCTTTTCTTTTTGCGCTTATAATTCGTGAAAAATAGAAAAAATGCCAAAATACCAAACATTTATTATTATAATTACTCTGGCGACCACATTAATAGATTATACGTGGTCTTTTTGAATGGCTCAATGAGAAGGCGAATAGTTGTCCTTGACTACAGGAAGCTGAGCTGGTGAAGTATGTGGAACTAGGAGAAATATAGATGAGGAATAACTGGCAAATTTTCACCTTTTTTGAACAGTTGCGAAGGCGGAGTCTGGAATGGATTTATAAAACCCACATTTTTGCCCGATTACCTTGTACCCGCGTACTTACCATTACTGAAAATCTCTATATCGTAAATTAAATAACCTTTTTTTCTTCACGCTCTTCATGAAACAGAGTTTTGTAGTCTAAATTTGATTGCTCATTCTGATTAGTATGCACATTCCTCCACGACTATATTTCTGCTTCTTTTAATCAATTTTTTTAACTCAAAAACTACCTTTGGGGTTAATGATTCATGCCAAATGTAAATTCATGCCAAGTCACGTTCATTGATCAAAGTAAGATTCCCGTCGACAAAGTAACTGTGTTGTACTCTCATTAAAATTATACTTTTCTATTGGAGAAGATGTTTTCAGCTCTTTGTTGTTGTGTATTGGAAACAAGCTGCATAGTTCTGATGTGAAACAACTGACCCCACTGCGTATACCATTTTGAATTCATCTTCAAAATTACGCATTGCTGGGTATACTTTGCGGGTAAAAAACACGCTGGCGCTGACGCTGATAAAAGTAAATAACATTTTAATAATTGTTCAATATATGCAACAAATAAAAAGTCTTGACGATGCAGTTGTTCTGTAGAGTAACACGTACGAAGCGCCAAGAGTACTTGCAACCTTTTTGACGAAACTGAATTGTAGAAATTTTTCCTCTCTATAAACTATATAATATATAATAATATATAATATAGGATTTCTATAGCGCTCACTCTAGAGTTCGGAGCGTTTTACAATATGTACAATTAAAATGATTATAAATAATTAACTAAATTAGCCAGGAAATAATACTAGCAAATTAATTAATATTAATAGTCCTAGAAATCGAAAGCTCGACTAAAAAGATAGGTCTTAAGCTTTGACTTAAATGTCGCAAGTGATGGTGCCCGTCGTATGGTATCTGGGATCTTGTTCCACAGGTAGGGTAGCGACATAGTTAAATGACCTGCTTCCATAAGTCTTAAGATAAACTAAGGCACTTGCAAGAACTGTTTGTTAGAAGAGCGTAGAGTTGATATTGAGGCGCCAAGGCATTCAAGGCCTTATATGTAAGTAGTAATATCTTTAAAGATATACGTCGTTTAACAGGTAGCCAATGGAGATCCATTGAGACTGGCGTAATTCTATCATACTTGCGAGTACGGGAGACTACACGCCCGGTAGCGTTATGAACACGCTGAAGCTTATTTATTAAGTATTGTGGCAGCCCAGCCAATAATGAATTACAGTTATCTAGCTTGGTCGTTATAAATGCATGGAACAATGTTTCCGTATCTTTTAAAGAAAGACAGTTCCTGATCCTTGATAGATTACGTATATGGCAAAAAGCCACCTTACAAATATGATTAACATGCTGTTTAAGGTCCATAAAACTATCAAAGATTACCCCTATGTTTCTAGCTTTTACTGACTTTCCTACTTTAACACCAGCGATTGTGATCTCGTCTATTGGTGGGCACGGGCAATGTTTAACATGTATTACTAAAAATTTTTCACGATTGAGTTATATTTTTTTTACATACCATCCAAGCGTAGATCTCACTAGCACAATCCTGCAATTTTGCAAAAATTGGCCCAAGCACAGATCGTTGAGGCACTCCCCATTGTAGCTCCGTAGAGGACGATCTGGTATTCTATATTTGGATAAACTGTCGGCGATCGGTGAGATAGGACGCAAACCATTGAAGGGCGTTTCCCTTAATCCCATATCAGTGCGCAGTCGGTTTAACAAGTTGATGTGGTCGACCGTATCAAAAGCGGCTGATAAGTCTAACAACAAAAGAACTACATTTTTTGTTCATCGATTGCATTCAAGATATCTGACTGGACTTTTAAGATAGCTGTTTCCGTACTGTGAGCAATTTTATAGGCAGATTGGAGCACTTCCTGGAGTCAATTAATATTAATGTAGTCGATAAGCTGAGAAGCAGCGGCTTTCTCAGTCACCTTGGACAGTAACTTTAGGTTAGAGATGGGCCTAAAGTGAGGGAAACATTCATAGTCCAGAGTCCTTATTTAGCTTCGGTCTTATCATTGCTTCTTTAAAATGGTGTGGTACATTTCCCGTAGTTAGTGACAGGTTTACAATTCTTGTGATGACCGACAGCAGTACATTCAAGCATTTCCTTAATAAAATTGAAGGTAGAGGATCTAAGTCACATGTCTTAAGGCCAAAAGAAATTAATAAGTCACTAACTTCAGCAGTGCTCACAGTACGAAAATCTGGAAATTCCGATTTACAGCAGGGAGAATCAGGCAGTGGATTAATCACAGAATCAGATTCAGTTGACAAGGTAAAGCGTATCTTAGATATCTTCTCATGAAGTTCAAGTTGTTCATTAGATGATGATGTAGGATAACAGGGTTCTTATTCCTGTGTAGTAGCTGATCAGTAGTTTTGAAAAGAACTTTCTGATTTCCTTTGTTTTCCGTAATGATAGAGGAATAGTGATTAAATTTTGCGTTTTTTATCATGTCATTGGTCACACCACACTGCGTGATATATAGCTCCCAGTCAATAAAGAGCCCTGACTTACCCCATCGCCGCTCTAGCTTCCTTCGTTTCTTCTTCTCTACGTGAATAGAGTCTTTATACCAGGGTGCATGGGGTCTAAGAATAATTGTACGCTTCTTAGTCGGTGCGTGTGTGTCTAAGAGACTGGTCAGCGTACTCTCAAAGTTCGCAACAAGTGGTGTAACTTCCATATCTCGATAATCAGATAGGAACGTCGAAGATATGATATCAGTCTGCAATAATTTAGTGTCTACTGATCTAAGCTTCCTGTAAGTGATATCTTTTCGCTCAAGTGGTGGCTTTTTGAGCTTCACTTGAGAATAAACTGCATAATGATCAAACAATATAGGGCTATATATCTGTTTGTTTTCTTTTTGCAGATCTGAATTTCATTAAAAATGCAACATCTATGGATTCTCGCACCTATCGCATTGGGTGTATGTTTAGGTAAGAATGTCTGGCTTTTTTCATCCTTCCGTCCTTTATTCGATCTCCTACAGCGGTTTATGATTTTAAGTTTAGAGGATGACCGTTAACATAACCTGTTTTTCTTTTTCAGGCGTGGTATCTGTAACAGCAGGTTCGTTAATTGTCTTATTTGATAATCTAGTTACCGATGAATAAGGTACAGTACTAATATTAATCTAAATTGGGAAAATATGGGAAAAAACGCACGGCTCTCTCGACTTTGTTAGTTTGAGGGTCGCTAAAGGTGCGCTTGCGATAATCTTAAGAAAATAGAATAGTCCCCATTGATGGTATGGGGACTACTACGCTTTTTGATTGATTCCCGTAAAAACTGACCAAAACTATAGTAATTAGAGCGGCCAATCAGAAGAAAGGAATATACCTTTAAGACACAATAAGAGCACAAAATTCACCAACTGAATTGCCTGAAGCGCGTGAAAACGTGAGCGACCAAGACGTTATTGGTTTCAGTTTTACATCTGATTGGTACAGGGAGTGGTGCGGTTTTATGGGACGATTGTATGAGCGAGGTAAAGCAAAAACAAAGCAATCCCGGACTGTTTGCATTATGGGCATCCTAAAGTCAAACAGCCTAAGCGGTGCAAAATTGCTAATCTCAAGCCTTAAAAGCCTCAATATTTACTCGCTGATGAGTTTAAACACTGATTTCTATTCTTAAAATTAGATAACCAGTGCCACCAACAGAATATGGATGTAGCGATTTTTGGTGACATATCAAAGAGTATGAGGAAGCAACAACGAAAAAAGCTGGTGAACTTTATTGAAGAGTTACTTGACTCAACTCTCGTTTCTGCTGATGGAAATCATGTTGCTCTTGGCACGTTTGCAAAAACTGCTGATATTCATAACAAGCTTAACAATAAAGAATACCACGATGCAGACAAATTGAAGAAGGCTGTAAAAGAAATCTTCATGGTTAGGCCAAAGAAATTTGGAACTCGTACAGATCTTGCTTTGGACCTGGCTTCCAGAGAAGTGTTTACAGCAGCCGGAGGGGACAGACCCAAAGCCAAGAACGTCTTAATTATCGTAACTGATGGAAAACCTCATATCCCAAAGAAAGACAAAAAAACTTTCATTCCTTTTGAAACATCGACGAAGGCGCTGGAGGTAAATAATGAGAATTTTATATCGGAAAGCAAATACCAATTTGTAGATTACATGACCTTTTTACTAAAGTTAATTATATAAATTCCGCGACTTTGTCGATTGTGAATTGATAATTAGTCTTTCTTGGTCAAACGAGGTCCTGAAGTTAGTTAGCCTTCTAGTACATTTGATAGAGAGGTGAAGAATTAATTTTTTTAAAAAATATTTTAAGGTTATCTTGTACTCATTTTCACGATAAGACCTTAAGTAACATATGTATCAAACTAACTAACTGCCCAACTAACTTTGAGCCTGTCTGTTTTGTATTAGGCTAAAGATGTTTTCGTTGTCGTTGTTGGGGTTGGCAAAAATGTGGCAAGGCAAGAGAAGAAAATGGCAGAGATTGCTGGTGAAAAAGGCAGAGTTCTTTTGTTCCCGAGCTATAAAAAACTAAGCGAAAATTTAGAAGAAGTGTTAGAAGTTTACTGTGGTAAGTTCAACTTTTAACTTATCGCGGTTAAGCTGAAAATAAGAGAGCATAATAAGTACATACGGTATTATTGGAACGGACTTATAAACATCGGTCTACATTCGGTTTACAAACTCCTTGTTATTAGGCTGCAGCGATTATTTCGTAATCCTTGTATAACACCTTAGTTTATATGAGAAAATGATTTTGTTGACTTTGATTCTAAAACCAATTTATTGATTTCATGTTACAACAAGTTGTGCAGACGAGTGAACATTTTTTCGTTTTGGTGGTTTAGCAATTGACGGCAAGTACACCGAATGGAAGGAGTCTGAGTGCAGTGTGACGTGTGGAGGAGGAGTAATGACACTTACAAGAACCTGTACCAATCCTCCGCCGTCTAACGGTGGAAAGGACTGCAGTGAATTGGGACCGGCTGGAAAGACACTTGCATGCAACGAACCTGAATGCCGTAAGCTGATATAGCAATTTATGTCCTTACGCGATGGGTGTACTTTCTTCAATATACATCATGATAAGATCCATCTTTGATCATTTCATAATTTGCATAACTTGCGGATTTGTGGGCTCTTAACTAAGAGGGTCCCCTATACTTTTTACGCGAATCATGATTGGGCGATTTTTATTTGTGAACCGTGGTTAGAGATGAAAAGATCTTTTCATGTCTGCTTGCACGCATCTTTTTTAATTTAAACGTTTCAAATTAATTTAAATTTCCGGCTATGATATTGGTGTGAAAATTTACGTATTGTTCTAGAACGGCTCTGGTGAGCTTTTGACCCGGGATGGACTTAATACTCATCCATAAAATTCATAAAAAGAACCACTAATGGTTCTTGGACAAATAAGATAAGACATTACATTTTGTCGTGTAAGACTGTTCGGCAAGAATAGAAAAAGTAAAGTATTAATTCAACGTGAATATCTTGAATTTCGCGTGAACGTGACAGAGTTGTGGACATTACTTGTGATGCATGAAAAGACCAAATATTATTACGTGACTGAGTTTCTCAAAGGGGTATAGGGGTGGAGGGTCCCCTGTAGGTTGGACGAAAAGGGTACACAAACTCCTCGGTTTGAGTTGCTGTTCCAGTCTCAATTTCTGACTCCTGATCCATTATTGAATCGCTTTCAAATTTAATATCTTTTACTTTCTGCCCTTGCACAATAATTTTCTAATTTATTGTCTGTCTCGTGCTCTTTATCGTGCGAGTTCTCTCTTTGCTCCAAAAACCCTATCTTTGGAGTCTAGTTTGGCCGCTGATCCCAAACTGGACAAGTGTTTTTCTTCAGAAGGACGTTTGTTGTGGCTAAGATGCAGGGATGGTGTCCAGCCGGGACCAGTTCTCTTTCAAATTAAAAAAACATTTTTTTAATGGTTTAGCAATTGATGGCAAATACACCGAATGGAAGGAGTCTGAGTGCAGTGCGACATGTGGAGGAGGAGTTATAACTAAAACAAGAACTTGTACCAATCCTGCTCCACAACACGGTGGAAAGGACTGCAGTGGACTGGGACCAGCTGAAATGACACTTTCCTGCAACGAGCAAGAATGCCGTAAGCTGATATAGAAATTTGTGTCTTTAAGCGACGATTATGCTTTCTTTAATGTACATCACTAAATGATGTTTTAATGGTTTAGCAATTGATGGCGGATACACCGTATGGAAGGAGTCTAATTGCAGTGCGACATGTGGAGGAGGAGTAATAACTAAAACAAGAACTTGCACCAATCCTGCTCCACAACACGGTGGAAAGGACTGCAGTGAACTGGGACCAGCTGAAATGACACTTTCATGTAACGAACAACCTTGCCGTAAGTATTAGTAGTATGAAGTTATCTGGATGTTCATGCAATAACACTTTCATAATTTGCATAACTTGTGGACTTGTGAGCACTTAATTAAGGGAAAAGAGACCTTTTCCTGCGAAAGCGATAGCAAAGTACAACGAATAAAATTGCTGAGATAAGATTTGCTGCCCTGGTTCTAGGCAATGCTTGGTAACTGAAAATTCATTTTCAAAACTTTTGAAGAGTTTTTTTTCACGATTTAGCAATTGATGGCAACTACACTGAGTGGTTGTCGATTATTTCATAATTGGCATAACTTGTGGACTTGTGAGCACTTAATTGAGGGAAAAGAGACCTTTTTTCTGTAACAGCAAGAAAAAGCTTTCCCATAATATACGATAAGATTATTTTTGTTGTAATTGATTCTAAAGCCAAGTTCATGGCAGGTTGTGCATAAGGGTGAAAAGTATTTCTTTTTTATGGTTTAGCAATTGATGGCAAATACACCGAATGGCAGGAGTCAGAATGCACTGTGACATGCGGAGGAGGAATAAAAACATTTACAAGAACCTGTACCAATCCTCCGCCGTCTAATGGTGGAAAGGACTGCAGTGAACTGGGGCCTTCTGAGAAAACGGAATCATGCAGCACACAGGAATGCCGTGAGTATTTGTCAGAACAATTGTCGGAGTAATTGTCTGTATATTTACTTTTCTTTTAATTGAGTATCACCGAGTGTTGTGCTAATCCTGGCTGTAATCCACTCTATAGCGATCTTTAACCTCACTTTATGTTGCTTTAGACAGATTTCATGATTTTTTTCTTAATTAGGGACTTAAATAATTTTTTTTGTTTTTTCATGATTGTATCCTTTACACTTATGTTATCTTAAAACGTTATCAAAACGTTTAAGATAGAAGTGTGCGCCTGAAATCACTTAAATCTATCCAAAGCTCTAAAATGTTTGCATAGAATTTTGGCACTGTGGCATTGTGAGGATAACTAAAAGCAACCTCACCTTGAAAATATTGTCCTCAAATGTGCTTAAAACTTGAATACAGGCGCTGTCATCTTCAATCTCGCACTGCAAAGTGGCCACTCTCCTGTTACGTATTTATTAGAAACGAAAATATTCATAGAACTTCCAAGACTTAATTCTTCGATGAGATTGAGAATTAAAGCTTTTTTCAATTTTCCTTTATCCGAACGACAGTTTAAAGAAAAGCGCGCGAACAGCGAGATTCCGATCTCAAGTCACGTGATTCAATGAAAGGAAGATACAAATCGCGTGCAAAATTCTATTTTTAACAGGAGTTCGGAGAAAAAAAGACTTCTCCCCCCTCCTCTCTCTCTCTCTCCGATCTTATAGCAGTCCGATAAAAATTGATTATGAGCTACTCAAAAGGGATTCTTGAAGTAAGAAAAGATTTCATGGTTCTGCAGCGTCATTATATTTTGGAAGTATGTTTATCAAGCAAGGTTTCAAGTCTTTCAGACGCAATGACTGCAATCTACTATTTTTGTGTTACTTTATGCGCTTTTTAAATTTCCCATCTTGAACTTTAATTTTTTAATTTTTCATGGTTTAGCAATTGATGGCAAATACACTGAATGGAAGGAGTCTGAGTGCAGTGCGACATGTGGAGGAGGAGCAATGACTAAAACAAGAACATGTACCAATCCTGCTCCACAACACGGTGGAAAGGACTGCAGTGAACTGGGACCAGCTAAAATGACACTTTCATGTAACGAACAACCTTGCCGTAAGTATTTGTAGTATGAAGTTATCTGGATGTTTTGCAGCGATAGTTGTCATCGGTACTCCATTTTGTTGTGAAACTGAAGCAGTTAGAGCACTGAAGAAAATGATAAAACAAAGTGGGATACAGACCGCGTTCTATAATCATTTTCAAGGTAGATTGCGGAAGTGACGATCAGCACAAAATATGCGGTTGTAACTTTCAAATTGAATGCTCATTGCACCAGTCCTGCCCCAGTTAAGGCATGCAAGTCCTAAATCTTGTCGCTTGTACCCTGAAAACTTCAAAGCTCATTTACAAAACGTAAAATTCATGCTTTAGGGAATGCTGTGAAAATGTAGTGGAATTGGAGCCGTGAAATTAACTGCTCAGTAATCTAGTTCCTTATCGCATTATTGCAAATATTTCTTGGTTGTCTTTCATCACTATAGAAGCCATAGCCCATTATTCTTAGTTACTCAGGAGGCATTGAACGAACCACGTTGTCCATTTCTTTCGAAATATGATGGGATGTTTGTCCGAGAGTACATTCATTAATATTGGTTATTTGCAAGAGGCTCAACTCGGAATTACAAAGAGACACTGAGGAGGTTTGGAACCGATAGCCTAAAGATTTCAATTTAGCAAGCTAAACTCTCTGATCAAACGAATTCCTCATCACCTCTCACCTTTAGTCAAACTTCAATGAGTGATAATATTTAGTTACGATAGAGGAGTAACATAGAAACATTGGAAAAGACCACCTGATAAGTATCTCAGTTCAAACAAGAAACAAAAATATATCGATATCAAATAATAGGGAAATATCATTGTCTGTACATTATAAGACTAGAAATAATGACTTGTAACGATGTTTTGATGTTGTTTCATGACTCAAATATCACTGCTGGCAATATTTTACATCTTTCTTCAAGTTATTTCCCTTTTTCATCTCCACAGCTCCTCCGTGCACAGCTGGACTTGACGTTGCAATCGTTCTCGACAAATCCCAGAGTGTTAAATTAGGTAATCTGGAAAAGGTTATCACCTTCCTGGGTAAACTGGTTGGGAACTTCGACCCTGCTCCTGAAGCAGATCACTTCGGCCTTATTACCTTTAACAAAAAGGCACAACTGTCTTTCAAATTTGGCGACTCACAATATTACAATAAAGACGCCTTACTTAAAAAAATAGCCAACGAACCGATGGTCCTACAGTATCAAACACGCACCGATATGGCTCTCCTTATGGCGAGGGACGAGATGTTTACTGAGGCAGGAGGAGACAGACCAGACAAACCAAATGTCATGATTGTACTCACAGATGGAAAGCCAACTAATCCAGACAAAGACTTTGACTTCAAGGCATTTTCTAAAGAGATATCGAAAGATTTCAAGGCGAGTATAAAATAGTTATGTCGAGGCTTGATTGATGAGAGCATAGGGTTAAGACAAATAAAAATGTGAACCTAATGAGTTGAATTTTTCAATTCTTGTGAACTGAAAGCTAGGACATTAACTTCAAAGTATTTGCTGAAGAAATAAATAAAAATTTCAAGGTGGGTGTGAAGTAGTTAAAAAAAAAAAAGTTTGATCGATGACAGCTGATGTTTCAACGAGTCATTTCACTAAGAACTAGAGCCCTAGTTGGGTCTCTTGTGTTATGTTCGTTGTCATTTGTTGAGATGAATTAGCATTGCATCCTGCTCACTTTATGATGCAGGATAAGTTCTAGCAGTAATGGGCCCTTAAAACTAACTTAATCCTTCTCCAATCAAAAGTGACTCATGTGTCAGAGATTCTCTTCTTACAGGAAAAGAAAGTCAACATTGTAGCAGTGGGCATCGGTCCAGGAGTGGAGGAAGCCACTTTGCACGATATCGCTGGCACAGGTCCTGTGGTTCAGGTGGAGGCGTTCGATAAGCTTGATGAAATGATGAAAACAATCAAGGGATCGGCTTGTTCGGGTAAGTTATAATTGCAAAAACCTCAATCGCTCTTACTTTTGAATCCACCTGGCCTTCTCAGAGAGAAAAATGGATCCCGTTTAAGTACTTCATGGTTATATTTGCCATTATTGCTGTTAGTATTACTGCTATCAAAATTATTGTAATTACTTTTGTTTTAATCATTAAAACTCTGGTTGTTAGCTTTATAAGCTCTAATCTGCTTACATTGATGCTTACCGAAAAAATTTTCTCACATGCGAGCGTCACAAAAAACAACATTTCGTGCCATTTTCTAGGATAAAGGGGCTGGTTTTTAAAGTTCAATATTATTTTAGCAATGTAGTTCGTAGGTAGGTTTGTAGGAATTTAATGTGGTGTTTTTTAAAGTTAAAAAAATATATCAATATTTATAATTATTATCATAAAGTGATGCTCACGGAGAAACTTTTCTCACATACGAGTGTCACAAAATCAAGCTTTTGTGTTCATTTTGTAGAATAAAGAAGCTGGCTTTTCAAGACATGTCGTATCTTTGGATCAAACCAAATGGGGTAGACTATGAATGAAGCAACAACAATTTACGGAATTATTGTATATGCATATCATACTGAAAATAAACTACCTTAAAGCGGGAAACTTTGTCTTTGCCCATTTCTTAAAGAAAGCCACTGGTGGAGAGAAATTGTCGTTTTATCATCCAAATTTATTTTTAGAAGTAAAAATTTGTCGGCATAAATGGAAATGAAATATTTTGTATGGAAAAAAATGGAAACAGATATCAGTTATTTTGGATGTGGACTTTTTGAGCGTCGCCATGTTGAGTCTCCAAGTCTCCAAGGTTGCTGCAATCTCCGTATTATCCCCTGTGGACCACTGTGGACAAAATACTATTGTTCAATGATAGTAGCGGAAACTGAATGACGTCATGCAATCCAAAATGGCGCCTGCCGAGAAAGTCAGACATCGATATTGCTTTTATTTGTTTCCAGTTTCAAATATTTGGTTCCTGTATCCCATGTTTTCGCCCAAATTTTTGAAATGACATTTTCATCTATTTAATGCCAACTCATTCTACCAGTGGAGGTTTCCTTTTTGATCCTGTCTCTTACAATTTAAACTCAATACTTCATCTTCTTGTCCACTTTCTCATCCACCTCCGCGTGCGTTATAAGGAATTCTTCTCGAGCTTGCGGTTGACATAGTTTTAGCCATGACTATTTTTGCTTTGAAAGTTAACTAGAAATTGTATTGTTTTCGAATAAAAACTAACTGGTATGATCTCCCGCCCAAAGCGTGGGTAGGTTATTCTCTGCTTGCTGGCTTCACATTTATTAGCCCAAGTGAAGACCGTGTAATGCCGAAGCATGCGCCAGTGGTACGCTGTACCAAGCCCTGGCCTTCGAGTATGCGTAATGGATAGATTTGTGCCGCCCGCAATACAGTTTTTTGTGCATGCTTTAAAAGAGCAACTTGTACGCACGGACGGAGAGGCGTGCGATAGCGCAGCGCAGCGTGATCTTTTCCTTAAAACGCACCAATCACAACTTTTAAATCCTAGCCATTCACAGCTAAGCACGATGCTTCATAAGGTGACAACTATCCAGTTGATCTTCAAGGCATCGCTTGATAAAGACTAGCTGAATGCTACAACAAGTTTGTCAATCGTCGTGATACGCTCTCAGTTTCAATAGCGCTCTTTTTTTACAGTGACACGACGAGATAGCATAATGTAGGTGATTAGAACTTTAGAGGATTTCCTTGAAACTTTGCAGATGAGTTAACCTTGATCAGGTTCTCTTCTGGATACTTTATTTTGATAATTTTGTTTTATCAACTGAGTCGATAATGCAAATTGACCGCTGTAAAACTGACGTTTCGAGCAGAGCCGATGGAAGAATTGTGCATGGGTTTTGTTTGGTATATATACAAAAAAATGGAGTCGCGCTGTTGATGGGAACGCGACAACGTGAAAAAGAGAGCCGATTTGAAGGATGCTTGAAGGCCGCACACTGCCATATGTTGCTAAGAACGATTTGGGAAATTAAAGTGTCTAGCGATTGGTTTGAATTCCTTTCTACGCCACGAATGTGTTCTCGGAATGGGTCATGCCATGTTATTAAAAGGGTAACTTAGCCAGGTGAAAATTTAACCAAATAATCGAAGCTGTCTCTGTCTCTAAATCCAAAGTCGGTGTCTTACAGATTTACAGTACCAAAGTTGAAAAAATGTTTAGCTATGTTACCTCAAAAGCTTTCGTGGTTTCCCAAAAAGGAACCATCTTTATAACCCCTTTTGCCAATCCATGGCTTTCCGTCAGTGAAGATGAGCATGAGGTTCTGAGCATCAGGCCTATCCCCTCCTTCTGGGGTGAACAGTCTGTTAAGGGCTACTCTCAGGACAAGATCAGTGCGTGTACCTACTTTACCGGGAACAACTTTGAATTCCTTTTTAACTTTTTCCTTATCTGCTTTCTTTAAAGTATGTCTTAATTGAGGCGTACGATCCAAAAGTGGCAATTGCAAAATGATTTCCTTCGGCAGAGACGCCCTTCTGGTCCACCAACGACTTAACCAGATCGACCAACTTATTACGGTGGCTGTTCTCCATGCTCTTCGATATGTCACCAACAACGGCGATGTCCATTATCTGGTCAAGACATTCATCTATTTATGGGTAAAAATGAGAGAAATTGGTGTTTTGACGCCTGCAACGAATGCAAGATTGTGATGGATAAATAAATGTTGACAATTCCACGCTCTTAGGCAAACCAGGCAAACCTGTCGCAGCTGCAACTGGCCTGAAAACAACTAAGTACGTTAAATAAGCTGTCTATAACCTTTCTAAACTAAGTGGAAGAGAAAAATGCAAACCCATACTTTACTTTCACGTGTGTTGTTTTGACCCGTTGATTCAAGGTTTTTTGAATGGTTTTGAACGTTTATTGAAAATTACATTCCAGTTCATGGCCAATTTCATCCTGTACAGTTATCTCTTTGAATACTCATTAAGTGCTTTCATTCTGGATCGCATCGATTGGCGCCACCCTACCAGTATGTAACGAGGTCGGAAAATGAATGTCTTTGTAGAATGTAATAAGAAATTCTCTACTCGCTTTTATATCTTGACAGTTCGGTTCAGTTTATCGCCCAATTTGCGATCAATACCATATTATTTTACTTTTAATTCTCCTGTTAGTGGTGAAACTTTCTCTTAAGACTTGATAGATGGAGAGTAGAAAAGGTTTAATAGCAATGATTAACACTAATATTGTGAGAGTGAAATGCTTAAATCTGTACTCAAAGTTAAAACAAAAGAACATTTAAATTTAAAAATCCTTCGTGACAATTCAATTAGAAATGAGTTTAAGCCACAGATCATCAAGCTGAGATTCTAAAATCCCCCTAATGCTATGGATAGTGACTGGACAGTGACTGTAAAAAAGAGTCTCTAGAAGTTTCTGTAATACCTAGTCGTGCTGACATGTTTGCCATGAAACTTTCTAGAGGATCTTTTTTAACTCACGTAGTTATGATATAAGACTGCCAAAATAGTTATGTTGTAAGCCTCCGCAATGTTCTGGAATTCTTTTTTAATGTAAATAAGGACTCAGTCGTGAAGTAGTCGTACTTATTGTTGTCGGGAGTGACCGACTGTTCGGAAAGCTGTACCGAGAGAGCTACTGCGGAAGATTGTTCATTTCGAGGAAAATTGGAGACAACAAAAGTTTGTTAAGGATAATTAGTGAACTGCCCCTAGGAGTTGCTCCTTATTAAGAATATTACACGGTATATAATAACGTAGTTGAGCTTGTAGGACTATAGTGTTCTTTCTGTCGTTTAAATCATACCGAAACACTAGACTCCAGACTTCAAGAAATAACGAGTCCTTTGTCACGGGCATTGTCCAGGCGGGTGTACTTTGTTGCGTCTATTCCTTTGTCCAGCAAAAGGATCAAGTGAAACACGGACTACGCTGCAAGATTGAACTAACAAACAAAACCCATGCTTTCTTTTTAATAACAACATTGTCACAGTGTGTTCTGATTCACCTAATGAGCGTGATAGGGAATACTCTGTCCCTCACAATGAATAACAAATGCATTACACAGCCCGCTTTATCGAGCTTTATTTACGGATAAGCTGAGCGTTTTACCGGGTGGCTGTCAACGACTCTAACGTTTATAAAATAGTTTTAGGGCACGTCTAACAAATTCATAACGATATTACCCACTTTGAGGTAAGTTACTAAGCGCGATTCCCCATGAATGATCACAACTTTCTCCACAAACGATAAAAAAAATAATTTCCAATTTACCAGTAGGGGAAATAACTCTCGTGCGATGGCTTGTGCTATCGAATGACAACCTTCTTTGGGCAGCTGAAAACAAAAATGGGTTTCAATCATTTTCGTTCCTTTTTGTTGGCACTGAAAACACCACGAAAAGCAGAATCTCTATGACTATTGATTACGAATTTTCCAGTCTGACCATGTGAAATTCAAAGAAGGAAGGTTACGTGGCAAAAATACTTTAAGAGCAGAGGGGCCGTTAAAATGTGCCAACTCCAACCCTTAAGACGAAGGAGCTCTTCAAATTTTCGTTTACCTAGGGATGCCTGCCTGGTTGTGAAAGCACAAAAAACCCTTGCGTTTCCAATGAAAAATAATTCAAGCACACTGAGATTAAAAACCATCAGGTTCAATTACTTTAAAATAGATTTTATGATGTATTGAATTCAATTGATGAATTGAAATGGATTTTTAACCTCTTCCTATTCAGAAAAAAAAACGTTAAAATAGTTGTAATCAGAGTTGGCAAAGAGCTGTACAAAAGTAAGGAAGATATTAAAAAGGTAGCCGGCAAGAAGGAAACAGTTCTGGTTTACGGAAATTTCGACGCACTAATCAATAATGTCGACGATCTCCTAAAAGCTACATGCGGTAAGCTCCTTTTTCTTCCTCATTATGTGTTAGTTCAAAAGTATTTTGATATATGCTTAGTAAAAATCCACACGTAAATATTGCAAATTTGTTCCGAGACTACTGGATTTGTTTATTCATCTGATACGGCTAATATATCTCCCTCAAAGCTGTTAACGGAGGATACACTGATTGGTCTGAGTCTGAGTGCAGTGTGACGTGTGGAGGAGGAGTTAAGACACTTACAAGAACCTGTTCAAATCCCCCGCCATCTAATGGTGGAAAGGACTGCAGTGAACTTGGACCAGCTGAAACGACAGCACCATGTAGCGAACAAAAATGCCGTAAGTATTTTTAAAACCATTTTTTGAGTAAAATTAGTTATTGCAACGCCTGGAGGTGTGATTTTAAGACTAGTATTACCTGCTTTTCTTCATCTTCCGAGAGAATTAGTAATTGGAATTCTAAGACTAGCATAGGTTGACGTTCTAGAAATATCCACTGTAAGTTGAGATTACAAAAAGTTATTAAGAGCGTGGAGATTTTCTTCGCTTTTTATCAAGAGGAATGCTTATATGGACCCCGAGAAACAATTTCAAATAAGGATCATTTTTCTCCCTCTAAGCTGTCGACGGAGAATACACTGATTGGTCTGAGTCGAAGTGCAGCGTGACGTGTGGAGGAGGAGTGAAGACACTTACAAGAACCTGCACCAATCCCCCAGCATCTAACGGTGGAAAGGACTACGGTGAGCTTGGACCAGCCGAAAAGACAGCTCCGTGTAACGAACAAAAGTGCCTAAAGTCTTTTTAAAACCATTTTCTGCTGTTCCTATCCTTTTGAGAGAATGAGTCAACATAAAGCCTGAAACAGTAATTTTATGACTAGCATAAGTTGAACTTGAAGAAATATCCATTGTATATGGAGATAAAATCAAATTATTGAGAATGTGGAGATTTCTCAGCTCTTGTCTGACGTTCTAGAAATATCCACTGTAAGTTGAGATTTAAAAAAGTTATTAAGAGCGTGGAGATTTTCTACGCTTTTTATCAAGAGGAATGCCTATAAGGACCAACGAGAAACAAATTCAAATAAGGATCATTTACTCTTTCAAAGCTGTTGACGGAGGATACACTGATTGGTCTGAGTCGAAGTACAGCGTGACGTGTGGAGGAGGAGTGAAAACACTAACAAGAACCTGCACCAATCCCCCTCCCTCTAGCGATGGAAGGACTGCAGTGAACTTGGACCAGCTGAAAAGACATCTCCATGTAACGAACAAAAATGCCGTAAGTATCTTTGTAACTGCTTTTTGTCGGTCGTCACCAGTTATTCTAGAGATTAAGAATACCATCGGAAACAGCTAATGTTTTGTCTAGCCTTCACTTACGACGTATATTGCACTCCTCTATGGAATTACCTAAATTGTAGATTCGTCTGCGAAGCTCCTACGCTTTTTTTTTTCCTCAATCAATAGAGTGGAAAGCCTTTTAAAAGCTACATGCAGTAAGTTCCATTGGTCTCCATCATCTACGAGGTGTCTAAAGTTTTGATCGATGTTTAATAAAAAATCCACACGAAGGCAATAATTCCGATAATGTTAAATTTGTTTATTGATTCGATTCGGATCATTTTTCTTCATCAAAGCTGTGGACGGGGGATACACTGATTGGTCTGAGTCGAAGTGCAGTGTGAAGTGTTGAGGAGGAGTGAAGACACTTACAAGAACCTGCACCAATTCCCCGGCATCTAACGGTGGAAAGGACTGCACTTTGCTTGGGTCAGCAGAAAGATAGTTCCGTGTAACGAACAAAAATTATGTAAGTTTTTTTTTAGCAAAAATTTTCTGTTCTTCCTTATTTTAGAAGATGTAGTCATCATGCAGGCTGAAGGTAGGATTCGTGTGTTACAGTGTTCTGAAAAGTGACCATTCTCATTTACTAAAGGTTGACCTTTCTTTTCCCACTATACAGCTGTTGACGGGGAATACACAGATTGGTCTGAGTCAAAGTGCAGTGTGACGTGTGGAGGAGGAGTGAAGACACTTACGAGAACTTGCACCAATCCTCCCCCATCTAACGGTGGAAAGGACTGCAGTGAACTTGGACCAGCTGAAAAGACAGTTCCATGTAGCGAAAAAAAGAACCGCTTACAATTAAGCTGCAAGAGGTCCATGTGGGTACTGGTTAGGATAACCATGGGATTACTAGAAACGATGCATCAGTTTTAAAATGAAAATCTGGGGTAAAAACATTTCTTGAAAATGAATTTGAGACACCATTAGCATGAAATCATCAGCTCACACAATGAGGAAACATTTTTAAAATACACTTTGTTTAATGAAAGTCAATATAAAACTGACTCAAAAATACTTCTACTATTACAACCGTGACTAAACTTTGTAAAGAACAATTAAGCTTGATTGCTTTTACCAAGTGGTGAATATTAACCAAGAATAAAACAAACCAGATTTACCTGAAAGTACTGCACCATAAAAAACAGGTATATTTGCAATAAATTCTTGCTCGTCTTCAGTAGCATTCCCCTCCTCTCCAGTTCTGCTTTCATTATAGTTTTCTGCATAAAATAAAATACAAAAATCAAGATAAACATCTTTACCTAATTTGTTACAGGTCTACAGTTAAAATCAATGTAGCTTAAAACATACATGTAGCTTTATACAAGCAGCAGATAGAGTTCAAACTCCATACTGATATAACAGTAAGCATGGGATGACTATGAAGACACAAACTAACTGTTAAGGGTATGTTGTCAAAGCAACTTCAAATTATCTACAATTTACCTGTATTGTAGAAAGTAGAGATTATCACATGGTTTACAGTTGTCAGTTTGCTATCTGTGGCAGCATCAGCACCTTCTGAGCCTCAGCTTTCCATAAATTATTCTGCATAAAAATATAAAAATCGAAGGCATGTTAGTTAGTAGCAACGAGGTTTCTATTTAAATGTTTCATTATATGATCAAATTTCTAAACCCTTGTTTTTTGATGGCATACTAAGTGTGTTTAAATCACACCATTATAAATAGATTGACAAATACATATAGCCATCTGCACTAGAAGAACAGTTACTCATATTTGACTGTTATTTTGGTCAAATTTCCTGTGTACAGTAAAATTTGATACTCATATTAGTAAAATTAAATCAATAATTCTGGTGTCGTTATTGGTTTGAACATTGCGTGTCCCAATGCCATTTAAGAATTTGCACACAATGCCAAAAAATAAAGATGGCATAAAATTATTTTTGTCAAATCTGGCATGGAAAAGTACATCTTCATTAACGCCTTTCACCCCTATGAGTGACTATATATAGCATCTAATTTTTCCTTGCAACATCATCCCTGGATCAAACTTTAATGTAAGAAGAATAAAGGAGATGAATTCACCAACTAATGAAGCTCTTGATTGTTTAAAAAATTCTCCTTGTCCGCACCTCAGAATATGTTTAGAGAACAGTAGGGAGAATATGTATTGTGATGTTTGGGTGTAAAGGCTTAAATTATGATTGCAAGCTGTCATTCACAGACTGAGACATATTCAGATATGTAAAAATCACACTGATGAATCAACAGATTCATAAAATTCACATTGACATAACCTTGTCAATTTAAGTCTACTCCGGCCTGGATCATGTTCCCATAGCTCACTCTGGAGAGAGAACTCACTGCCACACTCATATTCAGGCATATCACTTTCATCTTTGTGCGATAAATGTAAACATAAAATTACATTATTTCCAAGAATTTAGGGAGCCACAGTCTAGTGTAAACACTAAAATAATAAAAAATATTCTTCACTTATTGGCTGGAAGTTGATCTTAATGGGGGCCTGCATAGACAATGTAACCAACCTTATAAGTGAATGTATCGAAACATAGAAAGAAAATCAAAATCACAACACAAATTACAAACACAATACACGCAATATAAGACTGCTATATTATGACATAGCCACTTGTTATTTGCATGTTGATGTAATATGGATGGATGCAGTGTACAATTTTACCTAGAGAACACTCTGTTCCTCCCTCCTCGAGAGAGTTTTCTGTATCCAAAATTCTAAGCTCAGCATATTCAAGAGCATAAGTGGCTTCGGCGGATACAAAATAATAAGCACAGCATTATATAGAGGCAATATCTTAGTGTCGACTTTAGTGCATAGTTTTGTAAAGCCGTGAGAAAATTTTGCCGAGTGCTTTATCTGTGGTACTGCTATTATAAACATTTGTGAAATTCCGAAGGCGTAAAATACAAATACAAATTAATTTATTGAAAATCTGAAGGTGTAATAAACTGAATTGAACAGTATAAATTCAAGTAGACTTCTGAAAGTGCTTCGAGTATTCTGCAATGACTCAATACAATCAAACTGTTCTCCAAGTGAAAACTGTGAGCGAAAACTATCTGCTCTCCAACAAAGTGGTTACCTGCACGATTATTAGAAGAATGTAAGAAATCTGCTTCAGTATGCGATGTATCACGAAGAATCGCGACGCGACAGCGGTCGCTTGTTTTATTAGGCAAAGCACCGAGCGAATGGTTAAGTTCGCGAAGAAACATAACAATAAAAGCCATGGCCAAAGAATGCAGTCCGCTTTTTCCACAGTCAACATTAAACTCCGTGGGATCAACATTTTGTTTTCCTTCGTGTTTGCGTTGTTGTTTAACAAGTGATTGACGGGTTCTTACATGACATTTGACGAAATAAAATTATCACGTTTACAGCTAACCTAGAAACATTAACAAGGCCGACTTATAGTCCGGCTCCATATTACTTTTCGGAAAGACCACTGCTTACGGTAAAGTAACATAATTCAGGTAACCGTTTGTGACAAACCGTGTTCTGTTTAAAAAGTGATTGAAAACTTTAACTTCTCAGTAAAAGCGGTAAAATAGACCCACAGCCCACGAAACATTTCAAGGCAATTTTAATTAAACACAAGGTGAATTTATGCTAATCTTTGAGAATGGGAATTTTTTTTTTATATAATGGTAATTGAACTGAGTGGAGTGCAATTTGAGCTGAAATCATACGCGTGATTTCAAAATCGATCGAGCGCCCAGCACGAGTTCGATCTGAAATTACAAGTATGATTTCCGACCAAATTTGCACGAAACGAAGTTCAATTACCACTTATTACATCCATTTGATACAGGACTTGGTCACTTCAAATATTTTATTGATGCAGTACTGAGCAGGTTTGAAGTTAAATTCATCCATTTTTGGGGGGGAAAAAGTAAGAGTTTTGGAAACAAAAGTAGCAAAATCTGCCATAGGATACTCTTTGTCTATCATTTTCCTGAAATTTGATTGGTTACTTTAAACAAGCCTTGAAATCTGATTGGTTGTTATGTTTTTAGTGTGGCCAGCTCATTAGCGGGGAAAAAGATGTGATTTAAAGCAAAAAATGGTGCGATTCGTGAATAAATCGCACCAATTAGAGCCAATCAGATTACAGGGACCACCAGGGATTTCAAAATGGGTGTAATAAAATAGGAAAGCATTTAGTCACATGACAAATCTGTACATACAGTTTGTTTATCTTCTGTTTATCTCTCGCGATACGTGCCCCCATCTTGTCTCAAATGAACATTCAAAGGAATGATTTAAATAAAAGTCTTACCGCACGAAACGATGAGTGGATTGAACACCAGTTATATTAAAATTTTCGCTTGTTTGCGGTGCTGGCAAAAATAATTTGGAGCGAACAAAATTTCTCTTCGCGCGATCTTTTCAAAAAAGGTCTACATTCGTTATTTAATTCCAATTTATTAATATTTGACAGTAAAACGAGGACCGAATAAAATGCAAAAGTAATTATGCGGCCTGCTGACGGCAGCAAACCTTTTCGGTTACCATTTCACCTAATACACCTTTTAAACTGAAATAAACTGAGATCTAAACTTCTTGACAACGAAGGCTAAATAATATTTACAATTCTGCAGTTCGTTAACTCAAGCAAAATTCAAATAACAATTTTCTTACATATTTCTTTTGGGCCACTGTCTCTTCTTCTTTGTAGTTCATTTTCCTTTTGTTTTTGACTTTGTTTTCACCAGTGTTCCCGAGCTCTTTGCCTGTGTCTCTCACGCTCTTCTTCGCCAGATCTTCGCCGCTTTACTCAGGACCTTTCTTGCTCTTTCATGTTCTGTTCTTGACTTCTTTTCCGTCTGTCTTCTCGAGCCCTCTGTCTCTCCCTTTCAAGCTGTTCTTCGCTCGAAGTGTGCCTTTTCACTCTATTTCTTTCCTGCTCTCTTTCAAGTTGCTTTTCGTCATATTTCTACCGATTTTGGCGAACTCTTTCACGCTCTCTTTCTCGTTACTCCTGACTCGCTCTCTGCCTATTAATTCTTGCTCTATCTATCTCTCTCTCTCTCTCTCTCTCTCTCTCTCTCTCTCTCTCTCTTTTCCCGTATTTTCTCATTTTGTGAGCCCTGTCTTCTTTGTTGTTGTTTTGAAGTTGAATTCGAGTCATTATTTTCTGTTGACATAGCTATAAGCTGAGTAACATAGCCCCGCTAGTTCAATCGAAATTGCAAAGTACTCATTAAAATGTACTCAACTACACAGTAAACTGAGTGATTTCCCGCCAATGACGCGGGTTGCATGCAAATCAACCGCGCTTACTTCACACTCACTCGCTCACGTGGAGCCCACGTTTTTTTTACGAGAT